CGAACTGCCTTCGCCTTCTCCCCGTACGTCTGCGCCGGAGCGGGTGCGCGTCCGCCGCGTCCTCGCGTACCCTCCCCGCGGCCTCCTTTTGCGACATAACCTCTGCGCAAAAGGAGGCCACTGCCGCTACGCCTGCCTACCCCAAGACATAAGTTGATAAGTCCCATGTGCCTGTTATGTCACCAGTGCCTTTACCCCTCAAAACCGGATCAAAGTAATGCTCACATAACTGCTTGGCGGCAGAAATAGGTAAGGTGGCAGTACTTCCCTGGACGAACTCTTTCTTTGACTGCTGCTATAATATGCTATGTGTTTGTTGCAGATATTTTTATAATAAACCATAAGCGTCTAGTTAGACGTGTTCTCTACAACATACAAATATTTTGAGCCCCCGAAGGTATACAGTTGCCTAATTTGAATATGTAGATACAATTGATTACTTTTCAAGTACAATATTTTTCCCGTAACTTTGTTAATGTAACCATTCTATAATTTAAACGACTAAGCTAGAACGTTATCAGAATTTTTCTACCAAGGTCTTTATAAAGTGGTTGTAATTAACTTTTCACAGCATTTCATGGAACTTCTAGACACGAAAACTAGTATTATGAAAATTTATATGGAAAGCATGCCATGCATGTTGTTATGCCACATGAAGACCTACTATTTTTTATAATGTAGCCATTTAATCTGCAACTGCCTCCATGGCCGAACTGTTACCATCCTCGTCTGTAATGCAGAGAATCCGAGTTCGATTTCTAGGCTGGGAGATATATTTGTATGTTATATGTTTATTAGTGTGTAATTTGTGTTCGTCTATGTGTGTGTGTCCATGGCACCCGTTTCCCTAGATCGGGGCTAGGGCGAGTGTGTGCGTTAAAAAAAACTTTACTCTTCTCTTCTGTAACTCTCACTAGGTATGTCATTCTTACATAAAAATAAAATAAATAAATAAAACAGGCTTTATTTGACATGCAAAATATAATTTCAAACAATTAAATAATAAATTTCAAAATAAACAATAAAAATAAATTCAAGTTAAAATAAAAAATAAAAAAGAAGCATGTGAAAGGGGTCCATGACTTAGCATCTTTAGGACTACCTATATAATAGTATGACATATAAGTAATAAGTAACTAACTACGTGGTTACCTTAAATATTGCGTCAATAAAAAAAAATCAAAAACATATTTTCTATAAAGCGAAAAATGCACACACTGCACTGTTACACCAAATTTTTTTTATGAAACAATAAATTTGACCTTCATCTCACCTGACGCTCACACCTAAACAACACTTATTCACTCTCGTGTCTTGAAAATGTCTTAATGTCCATAAGATTAAATGATGAAAAACAGACTGGCTAACACAAACTTACAAATGGCCACTTATAATGGGCATTGGCTGGCACAAGGCCGTTTATAACGGCTATTAAAATCTTTAACAGAACTTTTAATTTAAGTTTGATCTTTTAGGTGTATATAATTCAACAACGTGAAATGTATTTTTTCACTATTTAAATGTTTTTCCTTCATAAACAATTAATCTTAGTAATACCTTAAGACTGTCATGTGTCATTTCCAAGGGTGAGAGCCTGGTGACTTGTAGTACAGGCGTTAAGCCTTTAACAAGCACCAGCTCCCAAAAATAAGTTATTGCATGTATCTTAAATTACTAAGAACTATATGTACGTATTTTTGTGGGGGAATAAACGTTATTATTATTATTATTATTAATGTATTTACCAAACATCTTAAAGCGCATCGAGTTCTTAGGTTTTCGCGATTGTTACACATAGGAAATGAAACTATTGATTTTTGTTATTAGTTTTAAAATTTTATTAGTTGTATAAGTTTTCTTTCGTGTCGATACTACCTTGAATTCAAATTTTTCCCGCACTAATACGGTTTTACACAGTACATTTTGCTTGGGTCGAGCAGTAAGGACATTGGCTTTATTTCAGGATTTTTTTTTATTCAAACACAACAAAGCCATTTGAAAAATGTATATCGTATAGTATACGTGTTCTATACAGTTGATATAAAAAAAAATCATTGGCATGTCATCGGGTATAGTGCAAACTCTCTTAACCGCTCACGCGATGCGCTCCACCTACCGCAAAATGGCGGCTATTTGGTTTCGCAAAATAGAAAAGGATTCAGTTTAAATACAAGTTTTTATAAATAAAAATTATTATTCTGCATTGCTAAATAAATAGCCTCCGTACTACCAATAAAAACATCTCAAATAAAATGCAGTAATACACCGCAAATCCTGCACTTAAAAAGCACTAAAGAAATTTTTGGTGTACTTGGATAAATATGAAAATATTCGGTTTGAGTGGTTCTAACGTTTACCAAGAAATTATTTAAAGTATAGTTTATAAACATTTATATTCAGGGTAAACTTAAAAAACGCTACTGACGGTATGTTTTAAATAAATAAACACCGAAATCACCAGCCCAAACAATAACACACACGATTGTCGTGACGTATTTTTGAAGTTGTTTATTTTATTTAAATGACAGACCCAGGCATTAAAAACTTTATGGTTTGGTAGAGTAGTTACCGAAATGGCAATTAATATTAGTTCTTTTACCTGCTATAACTTCTATATCCGATAAATCGGTATAAAATCATCACCGGCACCTCTAGGTGTGGTATTGGTAAAAAGCTCATATCTGCACTAAACCAAATTTCATAGGAGAGGGCTTTAACGTTATTACTTTGTTATTTCAATGGCTACGACTTTCGTTTTTGCACAGTAAGCATTAATTTATGTTGTCTACGGAGTAATAACACTAGATTCCCGTAAATTACGCTAATTTGGTTGCCATGACATATAACGGATTTGATTTGGCCACTATATTACCGAAATGGAAACTCTTAATCAAATGCTAGTTACGCGTAATTGCACTGTCATCGACGACGTGTAAAGTACGTATTGAATACAGCGGTTTTCTTGTAAAATTTCGAGGTAAGTTTGTGGTTTTTTTCGTGAAAATTTGTAGGAATCGTGTTTTCACACCGTAAGGTAGTAATCAGTGTATTTTTAACCGACTTCAAAAAAGGAGGAGGTTCTCAATTCGACTGTACTTTTTTTTTGTATGTGTGTTACGCGACAACTCCGTTATTTGTGAACCGATTTTCATGATTCTTTTTTTGTTGGAAAGGGGGTACTTCCATAGTAGTCCCATTTCATTTTGAAGAAAATCATCCACCTCTAAGGGTGTTCACGCATGAAGATTAATTTTTTTAAATAGCGCCTAAATTTTACTTAAGAAGCAACTATTTTAATGGTTGATTTTGCTATTTCTCCAATTCAAGGCGTTTTTCTCTCGCAACATACTTTGAGTAGTGAGAACCGATTTTTATTATCTCCAGTGTCAAGTCCTGTATAGTGGCGAACTA